ATGGACAGATGGCAGCTCAGATTCTCAGAAAGGAATGGAGCACATCAGAAATAGTGCCCAGTTAAAAGGAAAGTCTTTTTGTCTTTTTTCCTAGTAATTTCTTTAAAACATATAGGAGTGTAGAATGCAATTTTTTTCCCAAGTACACAGAATATTGGCCAGTATGTACCATAAAACAGTTCTCAATAAATTTAAAAATGCAAATAGTACATTCTTTGACAATAATGAGATCGAGCTAGAAATCAGTAACAAGATAATGAGGTGCTTCAGTCTAGGTCCAATCAGGAGACAGAAACCATACAGTAGTTTAAACGTGGCACGTTTACTATAAATTAATAAATTAACTATAAAGTTATGACAAAAGAGTAACTATAAAGATGTAAAGAGAATTCTTAAAAAAGAGAAACCTAAAAAGGTGCCCGAGGGCTGAGGGAGAGTACCCAAGAAAGGACAAACTTGGCAGGGTCCCCCAACCCCGAGACTGGGGTTCAGACCTCACTGTAGCCCACTGGGTGGGAGACAAGTTCACGGGTTTGCTCAGGCCAGAGCTGCTTCACGGCTGCCGGGCAAGACGCAGCCCTCCAGGACACAGGTGAGCCGAGGCCGGTGAGCAGGTGCACAGGCAGCGTAAGGACACCACCTGTAGGCCCCAGGCCCAGAGCCCACAGGTTGGGAAACAACCTTCCAGGCTACAGGGGAGCCAAGACTGTTGGGAAGGTGACCAAAGGAATTAAGCGTGTCCTGTGTGCCCGAGGCCTGGAATGCATGACCTCCACGCAAGGCGTGGAGGGCCACGCGAATCAACCCTCCCAGGAGAAGGGCCGAGGTTGGTGAGCAGACGTGCAGAGGGAGTCGGGGCACTGCTGTGAGTACGCTGTGTCCATGCCTGGGGGGCTCTGGGACAATGGTCCGGGGCATAGGTGAAAAAGGCCCAGGGTGCATATGCAGGGAGTTAGGGAGTTGCCACAGGTACAAGGCCTGGAGCATGCAGCCTCCCTCCCAGGAGGGCCACCGCAAAGTAGTCGCTGGGGCTGGACCCGGTCTGCAAGGTTGCGGAGGGAGTGCTCACTGCTGGTGCTGAGCTGGCGCTGAGCTCCCCACACCCGTTTCTGTGCTCAGGCAGGGCTGATAGACCATGGCACCAGAGCAAGGAAAAGCAAACCAGAGCTCCCTGCAGCCCAGAAGACAAGTCCTTTCCTCCCTCCAGTGTCCCTCCAGTGCCCTCTACTGACAAAGCTAAAATCGGGCTCACTGCGAGGAAGAAATGCTGAGTCCCGTCCATTATCAAAGAACAGGTACTAAATAGGGTGAATCTGGAACTAAGAGGCAAAAAAATAGATACCAGAATTCATCATCTTGGCTACTCAGGATCCATATGTGTCCTTCTAGACATATTTGAACTTCCCTATCAGTTATAGTCCTACCAATAAAATATATCTATCCTTAAAAGTGATGTTCTCACCCCTCTCCCAAATGAGAAGACACAGTCCTAACTATCACTGTTTCCAGAGCTGGCTATAGTAATTACTCCACAATTTTAGTCATGGTTCCACGAAATATTCTATTACCTAAAGATTAAATTATAAAGTTAAACTGCTGCAATTTGTACATAAAATAAAAAGGGAAGTAAAAAAGGAGAAAATGGTCAGTACATACAAAGATATATATAAGACTCAAAGAAACACATGCAAAGCTACTACAGTCCTCGTTTTTGTAACGGGTCACTTTTGTAACAGATCACAAGGTCACAGTTGATATCCATGGCTTCCTTCTTCAGCTAATCATTCCGTATTTCCCTTGTCCTCAGCTGAGATTCTGGTGCTTTGGGCTCTTTACCTGGTACAGTCACCCAAACCCTCATTCTAAAAGATCTTAGTCCTTAATTGCCCTGCTTTTGGGGAAGCATGGATGTACTGAGAGGTGCCCGCAGAGAATCCTCTAGGTTCCAGAGATAGTCTTGCTCTCCTCCACTGTGTAGCAACAGTTTTTTTTTTTTTTTTTTTTTGCCCCATGGTTTAGTGGCATAGGGAGCCCAAAATGGCCAGGTAGCAGTCCCTTCTTCCAATTCAGTGGTACCATTTTTGTGTCCCTTTGTGGACCATTCCTCACTTGCGAACCAAGATCTCCAAATCAGTAGGCTCCAATTTTTCAGGATAAGAGGCAAAAACTCTATGAGTGGGTAAGGTCTAATGCGACAAGTCATTCCTACTCCCACCCCCTTGGTTCCTGGACCCATGGATATTGGCCAGGGGGATGACAGCGCCATCTAATGGACTCTCATTCAAAGAAGTCCTTCATTCTGTATATCAAGCCTCATCCTTTCATGATGTTGTCTCCCACCCCGTGCTATAACCCAGTCTTCAGTAAGCTGTTCCACTTTTCAAGCAAGCCCCCTGGTTCCGGGTGACGAAGTATGTGTGGGAAGTCCTGTTAATTCTGTGGGCACAAGGCCATTGCCACGCTTCCTCTGCTGTGAAATGAGGGTCTTGATCAGAGGCGATGTTGTACGGAGTACACGGTGTCCATGGCGTCTCTGTTGGGAGGGCCCCAGGGTGTGGGTGTGGGTGAGCCAAGGCCGGTAGGAGGGGATGCAGAGGAGTCAGGGCGCTACTGCAGGGTAAGATCTGGAGTCTCTGGGGTCCATATCAGGAAAGCTCTGGGAAACACCCCCTGGGGTGCAGCAGGCTGGGGCCGGTGGGCAGGCTCCAGAGGGATCCAATGCGCTGCCCGAGTGAGGCTGTGGCAAGGCGATCACCAAACCTGGGCTGAAGCTAACAGACTGCTGCGGGTCCCTCCACTCTGGGCACACAGCTGGGACAGAGCATGCTGGATGTCCCCCCACATGCACATCTCTGACAGCCTGCAGCAAGAGCAGACGCACCCCGGAACCCGGAAAGTCCCTTCCTTCCTGCAGTGTCCTTCTAGCATCCTTTTATCATCGTGCTCACTGTAAGGGAGAAATGCTCCATGGCCAGCCTGCTAGCACAGAAGAAGTGCCGAGAGGTGAATCGAGCTGAGGAGCAGTAAGTATACTGAGCAATTAAATAATACACTTGTAAAGAACGCATGGCTCAAAGAAGAAATAGTAAGGAAATTAGATAGTACTTTGAATGGAATAATAATGAAAATAAAACATATTAAAATGCCTACAATGCAGCTTTTTTTAGAAGAAATATTTATTTTTTTTAAAGATTTTATTTATTTATTTGACAGACAGAGGTCACAAGTGGGCAGAGAGGCAGGCAGAGAGAGAGGAAGGGAAGCAGGCTCCCTGTCAAGCAGAGAGCCCAATGCGGGGCTCGATTCCAGGACCCTGGGATCATGACCTGAGCCGAAGGCAGAGGCTTTAACCCACTGAGCCACCCAGGCACCACTAGAAGAAATATTTAAAACCAATGGTCTTGGAAAACTGGGTGGCTCAGTCAGTTAAGCATCGGCCTTGGGCTCAGGTCATGATCCAGAGTCCTGGGATCGAGACCCGCATTGGGCTCCCCTCTTCTCCCTCTGCCTACCGCTCCCCCTGCTTGGGTTCCCTCTCTCTCTAATAAACAAATGCAATCTTTGACAAAAATATTTTATTTTTTTAAAAAATATTTAAAAAAAAAGAGGGACACCTGGGTGGCTCGGTTGGGCGACTGCCTTTGGCTCGGGTCATGATCCTGGAGTCCTGGGATGGAGTCCCGCATCGGGCTCCCTGCTCAGCAGGGAGTCTGCTTCTCCCTCTGACCCTCCCACTTCTCAAGCTCTCTCTCTCTCAAATAAATAAAATCTTTTAAAAAATCTTTTAAAAAAGATTTTATTTATTTGACAGAGAGAAAGATCACAAGTAGGCAGAGAGGCAGGCAGACAGAGAGGGGGAAGCAGGCTCCCCGCTGAGCAGAGAGCCCGATGCGGGACTCCATCCCAGGACTCTGAGATCATGACCTGAGCTGAAGGCAGAGGCTTAATTCACTGAGCCACCCAGGCACCCCCCCCTTTTTAAAATATATTTTTTAAAGATTTTATTTATTGGGGTGCCTGGGTGGCTCAGTGGGTTAAACCTCTGCATTCAGCTCAGGTCATGGTCTCAGGGTCCTGGGATCGAGCCCTATATTGGGCTCTCTGCTCAGCAGGGGGCCTGCTTCCCCCTGCCTCTCTGCCTACTTGTGATCTCTCTCTCTGTCAAATAAATAAATAAATAAAATTAAAATTAAAAAAAAGATTTTATTTATTTATATGATAGACAGAGATCACAAGCAGGCAGAAAGGCAGGCAGAGAGAGAGGGGGAAGTAGGCTCCCCTCTGAGCAGAGAGCCCGATGCGGGCCTCGATCCCAAGACCCTGAGATCATGACCTGAGCCGAAGGCAGAGGCTCAAGCCACTGAGCCACCCAGTGACTTCTTTTTTCTCACTGATTTTGATGTGCATTCCCGTGATAATGAGTGATGTTGAGCACCTTTTCATGTGTCTGTTGGCCATCTGGATGTCTTCTTCAGAAAAATGTCTGTTCATGGCATCTGCCCATTTCTTTTTTTTTTTTTTTTTAAAGATTTTATTTATTTATTGACAGACAGAGATCACAGGTAGGCAGAGAGGCAGGCAGAGAGAGGAAGTGGAGCAGGCTCCCTGCTGAGCAGAGAGCCTGACGCGGGGCTCGATCCCAGAACCCCGGGATCATGACCCGAGCCGAAGGCAGAGGCTTAACCCACTGAGCCACCCAGGCGCCCCGGCATCTGCCCATTTCTTAAGCAGACTGTTGTTTTGTTTTGTTATTGAGTGTATAAATTCTCTATTTATTTTATTTTATTTTAAAGATTTTATTTATTTGACACAGAGAGAGATCACAAGTAGGCAGAGAGGCAGGCAGAGAGAGGGGGAAGCAGGCTGCTCTCGGAGCAGAGAGCCCAATGCGGGGCTGGGACCCTGGGATCATGACCTGAGCTGAAGGCAGAGGCCCAACCCACTGAGTCACCCAGGTGCCCCAGTTCTCTATTTATTTTGTATATTAACCCCTTATTGTATATATGACTACACTGTAATTGCTCCCACCCCCCAGGGCCCTGGCTTTTTAACTGCTTGTTTAAAAAGGTGCTGAACCCTTACCCTGGGCTCCTTGGATGGGGCTTCGTGCTTTGTGTGCCCCACTATCTGGGCTCATTGTCATTCAAAGGACCTGGGTGCAGGGGACCCAGGCTGCCATGCTTGCTGCTTGCTGTGCTAGAAGCAATTCAGTCTTAGCATCTACTTTAACCTTTGGTACGTTTACTCCTTGCCATCCTTTATGACAGGGGTGAATAGGGCTAGGTGGTTAAGTTTTCAAGGCTGCAGGCCACATTGTTTCTGCTGGAAACTGGAAAGGACTCAGTTTAACCACTGTCCCCTGAGAGAAGCGGTATACAATATGTAAATGAGTGGGTGTGGTTGTGTTTCGCCACCATCACACCCTGCCAACCTAACAACTTTAAGTACAAGAGCAAGCAGCTGGTCCACCTTCCTTTTAGAGATGGGACATCTGAGACTCAAAGCTGGAACCTGCCTAATGTCTCATATGGAGCAGGCAGTAGAGGTGAAGACGGCCCTGTGCCACCAGATCCTTTTCCACCCTTCCCCACCTTACCCTGTGCTTTGCTCACGGTTGCTAAAGAAAACCTTCAGCTTGCAGAAAGTTCTGCCAATGGGAGGCACAAGTAGAGATAGAAAGGCAGAGGAGAGGGGAGGGAAACAAGGTTGGTTATGTACCCACCAGGCTTCTCGGACTGTCAGGGCCTGGTGGGAGGGCTTCTTCATACCCCTCTCCAGGTGCATGGAATCGCTTCTGCTCCTTCCCCTTTATGCCCAGAAGAAAAGAATTACCGCCCACCTCCATTCCAACTGGCGACATCCTTAAAGGTTAGTCACTCTATTCAAATTACCTGTTTCCTGCCCTGCCAGGACCGACTGCGGGTTAACGGGCATGTCAGCCTGGGTCCACTGAAAACCCTTTATCTTTCCACTCCTCTGCGGGAAGCGACACACTTTTATTACTCCAAATGGTATTCAGACTTCAGAACCCAGTTCACAGGCCATCCCTTGGCAACTTTCAGTTCCCGACGAGGAGTATTTTGGTCTCTCAACTCCCCTCCTGTTCTGGGTCACGTGGTGATCACGTTTCATCTTTGTGTCTTCTCTGTGCTTCTTGGAGGGGCCCTCTGTTTCTGACCCATTGTGGGGTCCGCTAACTACCTGACACCTAAATCCGCCACACTACAGGCCGATGCTAACCCCCACGCGGTGTTTGCAGAGCACCGTCGCGCAAGCTGCTTCTCATCATAAAGTCCCTTGTTAGAAAAGAGAATCCTCGGGCTAGGGTCCATTTACTAATCCTGTGGTCACGGTGCCACACAGCTGACCATTTAGACCAATGCATGGCCACCTGGGGTCGGGGGAGCCTGAGACCTGCCACTGCCCCGGGGCCCCTCGGGCGACAGCCGTACCCCCTGTCACTCTTCCTCCACACTCAGCGAGGCGAAATCCCACGAAAGGCTGTCGGCCGCGCTCCTCCCCGCGCACGCGTGGCCGGGCCCTGGAAACCATAGAGTGCCGCGGGCGGACAGAGGGGCCAGAAGCCGGGGTCGCTCCATCCCCCGCTTCCGGCCGCGCCTCGCTGCTCTGCGAGCGGCTGTAGCGGCGTGCGCAGTTTCCATGGGGACTGAAGATGGCGCCGCGAGGTGAGATTTCGGAGGTGTGTGAGTCTCTGGTCCTGATGCCTTCAGTGTCCCTCTCGCCCCCGTTAGAGCTCGACCTAAACTCGTCATTCTCGGGGCTAGGGACATCGCTCCCCGCTCGTCTAGAGTGGGGTTTCGCAGCCCCACCCTCCCGGAATGCCTGAAGGTCTCCAGGTGCAGGTCTAGAAGCCCCCAGATCCTGAGCTGGGCCTTTCTAGGCCGGCTCAGTTACGAATTTGCTGTGTGACCTCGAACAGGCCAGTGCTGGCCTTTGCGCCCCAATGGCCCGAATAGTGACCGGGTTAGATCTTAGAGAGGCCTTGACTTCCACCCAGAAGACAAGAGTCGGGTTTGACGGTAATTCCGGGGAATGAGGGGGGTTAAGGGAAGCCCCCTACACACACACACACACAGAGGGACGCGCGCACATGCCCTCTCTTTATCCGCAGTCAGAGGTATCCCAGGTGGCCTTTTCCACTAGCTGCGACCTCGTGTTTTCTTCCAAGTTAGGCACAGAACCATTCAAAGAACAGAGATTGAGGTGCCGTCTGGCCCATCCCTCTTATTTGTGCTCGTCTTTCCAGGTAAACGGCTGTCCTCCACCCCCCTGGAAATCCTGTTCTTTCTGAACGGGTGGTATTATGCTACCTATTTTCTGCTGGAACTCTTCATATTTCTGTACAAAGGTAAGGCGTGGGGCTTGACTACCGTTGCCCCAACATCCCTTCCCCACTTCAGCCCAGAGCCAACTCCCATCAAGAGCCTGCTTTTCTGTAGCTCCTCCTCACCTCTTCATTCTATGGCTTCTTCGAGAATGATTCACTCGGAAGCCCCTCAGCAAGCATTTCCTTAGTTTGGGAAATGTGACTTCTCTGTCCTTACTCTCCCTTGTCACCTCTCTGCTGAGCCCCACTAAGCTCATTGGTGACCCTCAGAAACTGTTCAGGGGCCAGTGTACCTATGTAGATCCAATCATTTTGGAGAGTGGAGGCCTCACAGACTCTTGGAGTTCGGGGTGAAATCCCCTAATAACGAACTGGCCTCTAACAGACACAGTCACGCTGCGAGTTAACGTGTCCTGCAGCAGGTTAATAGATCCTGCCCACATCTCGCTAACTAGTTCATGGAAAGCTGAGAAGATGCATGCCTTCTTTATCCCCAGGTGTGGGGGAGCTCTTGTGGGTGCTGTTATAGGCTTGCAAACCCTGGCTTTTCTGTTGGCAGCTCTCCTGCTACCATATCCAACAGCCAACCTAGTACTCGATGTGGTGATGCTTCTCCTTTACCTTGGAATTGAAGTAATTCGACTGTTTTTTGGTGAGTGTTGTCCAGAGAATGTTTCCATTCCTTCTCAGACAGACTGCTCTCTGTAACTTGATTAACAAGAACAAGTACATAACCTAGTCTCACAATAAGAGATTGGATCTGGTGGAAAGTCCCATTACTCCCTCTCGGAAGTTTTAAGCTGCTTCATATTTTGGGTCAAGCTTTACTTGTTTATTGCTCTGTAGGGCTAGAGTTTGTCAGTAGCATTTTAGATAGTTCCTTCCTAATTTCCTAAGTGCTAGGAGAGCCTGGTTCCTCCCCCTGGCTTGCTTGGGAGAATAGATTTGACTGTAACTCCATGTTCAAGGCCATATATGTCACATTAGTATTAAGGTCCCCTCTGCTCTCTGAACACGGATTTCTTAGGACATTTTTTTTTTTTTTAAAGATTTTATTTATTTATTTGACAGAGGAAGAGAGGGAGACAGAGCAGAAGTCAAGAGAGCAGCAGAGGGAGAGGGAGAAGCAGGCTCTCCACTGAGCAGGGAACCTGACACAGGGCTCAATCCCAGGACCCTGAGATCATGACCTGAGCCAAAGGCTGATGCTTAACCAACTGGGCCACCCAGGTGCCCTTAGGACAAGTTTTTTATCCTCACAGATCCAGAGCAAATTCCTTACTAGTTAGAATATCTTATCCCAGAAAACAGTGTTAAAACAGAAGCTGAGAAGAAACAGTATTTGCAACACATGTAACAAAGGATAAAGAAGGCTCACGTAAATCACTAAAGAAAAGATGACCTAATTTTAAAAATTGGTAAGGGACACTAATAGGCAGTTCATACAAGAATAATTACAGAGGGGGCGCCTGGGTGGCTCAGTGGGTTAAGCTGCTGCCTTCGGCTCAGGTCATGATCTCAGGGTCCTGGGATCGAGCTCCGCATCGGGCTCTCTGCTCAGCGGGGAGCCTGCTTCCTCCTCTCTCTCTGCCTGCCTCTCTGCCTGCTTGTGATCTCTCTCTGTCAGATAAATAAATAAAATCTTTAGAAAAAAAAAAAGAATAATTACAGAGGATCAGTAATCATGATAAAATGCCCAAACTCATTAATAAAAAGCAAATTGAACCGACAAAGTAACAATTTCATCCATCATATTTAAAAGATTTCCAAATACCCAGTATTGGAATGGATATGAAGACCAGGCCTTTCTATTCCCACACTCTTTGGGAATATAAATTAGAACAATTGTTTTGCTAATAGTTTTGCCATGTAAAATATGTATTTTTTCTTTAAGATTTTTATTTGTTTATTGGACAGAGATAGAGATCACAGGTAGGCAGAGAGGCGGGCGGGGGAAGCAGGCTCCCCGCTGAGCAGAGATCCCAACGCGGGACTCGATCCAAGGACCCCAAGATCACGACCCGAGCCAAAGGCAGAGGCTCAACCCACTGAGCCACCCAGGCACCCTGTATTTTTTTTTTTTTTAAGATTTTATTTATTAATTTGAGAGAATGTGCACATGAGTGGGGTTGAGGGGCAGAGGGAGAGAATCTCAAGCAGACTCCCCACTGAGCACAGAGCCTGATGCAGGGCTTGATCTCACAGCTCTGAGATCATGACCTGAGCTGAAATCTAGAGTCATAAGCTCAAAGGACCGAGTCAGCTAGGTGCCCCTAAAATTTGTATTCTTAGTCCTGACAATTACACATCTAAAACTGGTTGAAAAAAAACCAAATACTTCCACAGATATGTAAAGGTACCTATTGGAGAAAGCTTATGGCCACATATTTTGTAACATCAATACATTAGAGGGGCCCCTGGCTGGCTTAGTCATGGAGTGTGCCACTCTTGATCTCTGGGTTGTAAGTCCAAGCCCCATGCTGGGTAGACATTACTTAAAAAATAAAATTAATAAAAAAAAAATTAGAGGGGCGCCTGGGTGGCTCAGTTGGTTAAGTATCTGACTTCAGGTCAGATCATGATCTCAGGGTCCTGGGATTAAGCCCCACATTGGGCTCCCTGCTCAGTGGGAGTCTGCTTCTCCCTCTCCCTCTGCCCCTCCCCCCGATAGTACTCTCTCTCTAATAAACAAAATCTTAAAAAAAAATTGGAAGCAACCTAAACATCTGCTAATACAGGATTAGTTAAATAAATTATAGAATTGCCTCAATGAAATCGCTCATAGCCATTAAAAAAAAGAATTAGGTAGTTATACGTGGAAAGTTGTCTAACTTACGTTAAATGGGGAAAAATAAATGGAAAACAGTATGTAGAGTATGATCCTATTTTTATAATAATAAATAGTAATATGTAAGTATACACACATAAAAAAGTCTGCAGCAGTATACATCGTTCTGTAATAATGGCTGTCTCCACTGGGCAGTCCTGGAGCCTTTTAGTTTCCATATTTTCTAAAATTATTTTCTGTATTTATATTAGTTGAAAAGTTTTCAATGATTACATATTATAGTTAAAAAAATATTCCCCCCAAGCAAAGAAGTCGCTGTCCCTTGAGTGGGAGGCAGACTTGAAGCAGGACCTTTGGAGTGAACGACTCCCATCCTGTGGCACCTCTGGAGCCTCGAATTTTGAGCGCAGTGGGACCTCATTTATAAATCTGCCCATCCCCATTTGGGATCATTTTTCTCTGCCTTGCCAGGCTCTCCCATGCCATCCCCCCAACCTTTCCTCTGAGCCCAGGGAAAGCAGGCCACTTGGAGGTGATTCCATGGGCTGTGTCTGACAGGTACAAAGGGAAACCTCTGCCAACGAAAGATGCCACTTGGTATTAGCGTGGCCTTGACCTTCCCATCTGCCATGATGGCCTCCTATTACCTGCTGCTGCAGACCTACGTGCTCCGCCTAGAAGCCATCATGAACAGCATCTTGCTTTTCTTCTGTGGTTCAGAGCTGCTGCTTGAGGTGCTCACCCTGACGGCTTTCTCCAGGTACTGCTGCTGAGGGACCATGTCCTGTCACCTGAGGGTTGGGTTCCCATCTCCTCCTAGGGAGGGACTCATTGTTCTTCTGAAGCCTGAGGGGTCTGAAGCACTTTCAGGGGGAAAAAGGGTGCCTAGGGGATTGCTTTTCCTATTCAGGGTAGACAGTTACTCAGGGAAGAGATTCCCTTTGTTCTTTGGGGCCAAGAGGCTTGGAAGATAGAACAGTTTAGGCCAGTTGCTCTTGTTCACTGGTCTTTTAACCTTTTTTCTTTCTTTCTGCCATCAGTATGGACAGGATTTGAAGTGCAGACATTTCAGCCAGCAGCCCTCATGGGCTGAGACCACAGGTTCTTCTGGTCTTTAGCCACACCAGTGAGAATTGGGTCATGTTGTTCTGGGAAGGGTCGCAGCTCTTCCTCAGTACAGACATCCGAGCATGAGGCCACTGGGCATCATCTTCTAAACCAGGACCATCAGCCCAAGAGACTGTGCTACACTCCAGCGTAGGGAGGGACGAGGCTGTCCCATTCTGGCCCGGCTCAGAGCCAGCTCCCTGCTGAGCTCCGGTTCTCTTTGATCCTCATGGCCAGAGCATCTTGTGTGGCCCACGTGGGCTCCTTGGACTTCCTTCAGGACCGGAGCCACATACTCCCTGTGAGTACAGAGAACCTTGGGACGGTTTGCTCCCAGGGTGACGCGCAAGCCTCTCACGTCGTTCCCCAGAGACTGAGCTCCAGAATTTTTTTAGTGGCTCATAGTGTTATTTTTCTACTCTCATCATGATACAAACATTATTTTGTAATAAACGTGTATTTTCTATCATGGGAGTTGCAGCCTTTTCCTTATGGCACCTGTCCCTGGAATTTCATCTGCCCCAAGGGAAGGTAGGCTTTGTCCCAGTGGTTTGTTCTCAGGCTGTGCTTACTGGTCCTGTGTGGACACGAAGGCAATGGTGACTTTCTTCCCCCGGCTCTAGCTTAAATTAACCCCTAAAAGCACCGTCAGCTTCCGTATCTTCCTCAGGCCTGTCGTCCTGTAACAGACTGCTTATACACTTCACCTCTGCCCCAAAGCCAGCATCTTTTCTCTCACTCCTCTTACAGGTCATGGTCAGCTTCTTACCAGAATGAGGCAGGAATACTTGGAAGAAGCATAGTCAAAAGCCAGCATTTTCCAGTCGTTTATTTTAAAATTTCAAATTAACATAAAAGGAAATACACTTTTTTTTTTTTTAAACTGGAGAAATAGTGCCCTACATGCGTGTATCATTCCTTTTTCCAAGTCTTTAAAATTTTCTCATCTAACTCAGTAGTGGCTTTTTTTTTCTCTTTTCCCCCAAGAAGCCACCAGGAGCCATGACAGAATCCACTTCAGAAAACCTCAAGCCATATGGCCCCTCTGCTGTCAGATGAATCCTAGAATATCTGCTCTTGCTCAAAGTCAGAGTTAATTGGTCTTTAAGCATTTCCATGCTGGCTTTTAATTCTGCTTATTTCCTGTGATCGAGCTCCTTCTCATCCTGTGAAGGTCTCCACTGTCCAGAAACACTGATCATTTATCTTGTTTCCTACCCCTTCTGTGTCCTTGCTTCCTGGCTGCTTTTGGAGTCTATCCAAAAACTGTAAACAGGCCTAATCCACCATGAAACAGTAACAAAAAATCTTGGAACCTCCTTGGTGTTTCAGTCACAGACGCCCCCCCGCCCCCCAACCCCTGGCCTGTTGCTTGCACTGCTGTTTTCTCTAGCTGTGCTTTGAAGAAGTTGTTGACATTAAGCTAGACAGGAACTGGTTCTCCAGGGCCTCTCCATTTCTTCTAAAGGCTCAGTGGTTAAGGTCGCTCTTCCGGCAACACAGATAAATGAATGAAAGGCTCAGTTGGAAGTTTAGAGGTGGCTTATAATTAAAAGGAACCTTAGAAAGGAATCTAAACCCCCCACTTTGGAGACAGAGATGAGAAGGGAACAGCCAAGCATCCCATAACCTGTTACTAACAGTTGGATCTAGAAATCTTGTCTTAGCAATCTGTCTAGATCAAGTAAATTCTGCTCAACAGGTACCACTTGAGGAGGATGAGTAGTTGGAAATGGGGATGGGATTAGAGCAGGAAGTCCTCATTCATCTGATGGTTCTCTGGGAGCTTCATGCACGGTGCTTCCCGGGGCCGGTTCCACGGAGGTTCATTCTTCCTGCAGCTTGCTGGAACCACACGTGCAGGTGTAGTCACACAACAGAATGTCATATAACAGAAACTGAGGCAGCAGGGGATGGGAATGAGCATAGCCAGTCTTTCAGGGCTCATGTGGTTGGGTTTTGTATTCGAATGCCAAGGGGAATTCACTGGGCTGCCCATCTAGACCTGAAGGATCAACATTTTGGAACAGTGGAGAGGACCTGAGTGAAGGAGTAGGCCTTGGTCACAGGGGCTGGGAGAGACCTGCTCAGATATTTATCACACGCATGGCCAGGTCAGGTGACTGCAATGGCCATCCCTAGAGGCTGAGGTCTGGCCCAGTTCAGGAAGCACTCGGCACACGCAGATTCGGGTTTGTGGCTCTATACCATGACAGCAATGTATAGGAGACTAATACTCATCCAGTGCCTGGCAGAGTAGATTTAATCCATACCATGAGCCTGTGAGGCAGAAGAAAATCAACTCGAATGTTAAGTCACCTCCTGTCTGAGGGCATTTAGCTTAAGTAAGAGTTGGGATTTGAACCAACAGGAACCCCAATCATTCCCTTTCTGTTCCACCATGGTAGCGCTTTGATGAACGTGTTTACTTCTCTAACTTACTGGTCCTCATGCTTTAGTTTACATGAATGTCATCTGGGACATAAAAAGTAGATTTCTAGACTTCACGTAGAAGTGGGGCTTGCTGGAATAGGCAGCACGGGACCACGGAACCTGCCTTGAGAGCCCACTCCTATTACCCTCATGCTGTGCGTTGTCAGAGAGCTTCCGGGGTTCTCCCTCCCCCGAAAAGTTTCTTGTTTTTTTGCTGATCTTGCTTTCGCAGGTCCCAGTATACATTATGTACCACCTGGTCTCTTGTTCATCTTTTTGTACATGTAACACTTGTCTTAGTTCCTCTGGCTCTTTGAAAAGCCAGAAGCTTTCTGTAATTCCAAGGAGCTCACCCACAACACTCTGCTAAACTTTCTAATCTGTACTTCCTAAAGCTTAGACAGCATGACGGTTTCCAAAACATGTTCACGTTGCTCTCTCGGATTCTTCAAACACCACTGTGTGAAAGGCAGAACAGCTCTGGTTCTCAGCTCACAGGTTATGCCGCGGTCCACAGACAGTGGCAGCGGGCACTGGCAGGCATACTTCCAGACTCCGAGCAGAGGAGTCTTCCCTTCCTGAACTTGAGAACATCAGAACCGAACTGTAAGGGGAGGACATTTACTCAGAGAACGAACCTTAGGAATCTTGAAGGACAAAGGACAACTTGGAATTTTTCTTCCCTTAGCTTAGCTGGCTAAGGAAGCAAGCTAACCCTCATGGGGCGCTTCAAAGACCTGCGCTCCAGGCCCCCTGGAGTTGCGCAGGCCACCACACGCCCAGCCGGCGCTTCTAGCTCCGAACTCGGGGCTTCAGTGCCATCCCAGAGCCTCTACGTCAGCCCCAGCCCAGGTCCCAAATACCTCAACAAAGCTATTCAATGCAGAATCCATAAAACAGCTCACACCCCATTTATTATTTAAAAATATTTTGTTACAAAAGGAAAAAAATACAATGCAGTATAAAAGATTGACAGCGTCATCAAGTTTATTACACAATTTTCAACCTATCAGAAAGACAAACAAATCACCGACAACAGGGGGACGGGGCCTTGGCCTTTTTGAGGGCTGGGTTTGTTTTTTTTTTCCTTTTGCTATCAGGAAATAGAACTAAAATTTGTGTCATTGAGTAAAAACAAAAATGGGGGAGAAAAAATTCTCCGGGTAAACGGCTTTTCTGGTATTCTATATATTTTTTTTCCTTAAACTGTCACCTTACTTGGTTTTCTCTACATTTTAAAAAGACACCCGGAGCTGCTCTCGAGGATAAGCACATCACTTAACACTTGGCCAGCCGGGCGGGGGGCCATGTTCTGAAGTGGAGGTGGGGATGGGGTTGGGGACAGGGGGAAAAAAGCTACAAACATGTAGCCTCTGTCCCAAGGGAATGTGCCTCTCCAACCCTGGGGGGACCCCCTCACTGACTGACTGAGGGCTACGTCAGAAACGTGCAGGGAAGAGGAAGGGTTCCGGTCCAACTCAGTCTCTCCCCTCTGAGCCAGAGGGTCCTGGGTGACCCTGCGTCTCACATGCCACAGCTCGTCTCACATGCCACGTCTCTTCTCCTGTTAGATGTCACGTGCCCCATACACGCATGCAGAGGCAGCAGCCATCGCCCCACGGGTACCGCAGGACTCTTGCTGCAGCTGTCGTCGGCAGCAAGCACACCCAACTTGGATGTTACGGGAAAAGCAATTCCATTTGCCTGTGTAGAAAATGGCCCCCGGAGTGGTGGTCCTTAGAACTCTGAGCTGAGCTCACCTGAGTCAGGCCCCGCTTCCTCCTCGCTCATCAGAGGCAGGAAGCACCTCCACACTGAGTGAGGGGAACTATTAATACATCAACAGTCAAAAGGTGGAAAGACATCAAATCTGTGACTTCACCTGCCTGCTAGTGCCAGGTTCTCCCACAGTGAGTAAAATAGGTATGTACCTGGGGGATGCAAGCCCATGCTTACATCGAACCTGAAAAATGAAAGCCTCTATGGAAGTAGGCCACAGCCTGCCCAACCTGCCTCCGTCCTCCCGCTCCTGGAGTTCACAAGGGTTCTTCACTGCTGAGGTCCGATGTCCCCATCTCCCAAGGGCAGTAGCTTCCTCTAAAACAAGGAAGCAGCCTTCGTGGGGGAGGGGCTCCACGTGTGAAATGAAAAAGCCCCAGGAAAGGGAACACCTAATACAGCGGGTTCTTCCAAGAGGCAACAAGCACGGAGCAGCAGCGGGTGGTAACTGGCTCTGCCAGGCTCCCCGGCAGCAAGCAACCTCAGGGGCCTTCTCTACTTAGGAGGGGCAAGTCCACTGAGGCGGCTGGGCAGCAGGGAGGTGGGAAGGTTCAGCCCTCTGGGAGGTCAGGGAAACGAACCGTCAATATGTGAGAGGGAAAAGCAAGAACAGGAGAAGCTTCTCGTAAGGGAATTTCTGTTCTCAGAGTCCCTCCTCAAAGGGCTGGGAAGGTAAAGGAGTTAAACAAAGAAGTGGTATGTTAGCAAGGGGTTTGGACCCTCTTGGCCCCACCAAGCCTCGTGCGGAGGGCAGGAGCCTGGGCATATTTTGGCACACCCAGTCACTCTCCCGGATCCTGCAGGGAGGATCCGTTTTCTTTGGGAAGAAAGTCTTCCTATCAGCCTCACCACTGAACTGCTCCTGGAGAATCAGAAACTCCTACGTTTCCTTGGACAAAGCACCATTCTCTGTGGAGACCAGGGGCCTGGACAGGTTTTCTTCCTGTCTGCCAGCCCTCCCAACCACACAAAGTCTTCAGGTTCCTTCCCCTGACAAACAGGAGGGGTGGGACTGGGAGGGCTGCCAGGCAGTCTTCAGTCCTGTAGGGCAGAGGGTATTCCCTGGGTGTCTGAAGGGGGTGAGGGGTTTGGAGGAAGGGGGGGGGGTGGAGTGGCCTCCGTCCTTTAGTCCTGATCAAGGTGAGGAGATGCAAGTCCATTAAAAAAACATTTGCTTCCAACCAGACTCCTGCAATGAGAACATCAGAAGAAAAGAAAACACACGTTAGCGGTTACCTTTCAACTGATGGGCTTACGCGAGTCACACTGGCATCCTCTGAAGTTACAATGTATGAAGTAGGGTATATACACAGACAGAACGCAAGCCTGGGAAAGTGAAGGAAAGAAAGCAGGATTGTCTGGGGGTGTCTGGCACTGTGCGCAGTGCGGGAATGGTTGCAGGAGCTACATTGAGTAGAGAGAAAAAAAGCAGTGACATCTCACTTTAAGGTTAGGGGAAAACAGACAATGAAACGAAGTTTCAAAGCAGTTTGACTGAAAAGGAGACTTTGCCTGGAGAAGTATGGAAACTACAACAATCCAAGGAGAGTTGCGATAAGGAAATATGGGGAACTGATTTACCATTTCAGAAAATCTGTTCTGAGCAAGTCAGAGCTTACCTTAAGGGGAGGGGTAAAAATCTGGAAATGGGAGGTACAATGGTAAGAAAACAAGTGTGCACGTAACCAAATCCGTTCACCCCCAAACACCCAAGAGGCCCTAGCAGGGAGCATGTACTTACACAGGAAACTCCTAAACTTTTCTCTCTAAGAAGCCCTGTTTAAAACAGACTCCAAACAGTGTTCTTGCAAGTACGTGTGCGTGCATACACACAAGGGGCCGGGGATCTTCTAACCTGTACTAAAGCTCAAGGGCTTCTATGTTTTTCCCCAGACAAGAGCTTTGAGTGAGGGACCCAGAAACAGCCTACCGCCAAGAGTTACCGGGCCGGCCAGAACAGAAAGCAGAGCATGGAGATCAAAGAACCTGCAGTCCCCATTCAAGAAACCTAAAAGCACAATTAAGAACTTCTGCCGAACAGTAAGACACTGTGAAAGCCACTCACTACATGTCTACCAAACTTTAGGTCCCTGGTATACCCAGCCCTTTTCCAGTGTTGCAGCATCAGGAAGCTGGGAAGCGGCCTGGTCATCTGACCGCATAAAACAGAACTCATAGGTAACAAGAGAAAGGGAGATTAAATTTAGGCTTGGTACTTCCGCTAAAGGCCAAACCCACAACACAGCCTGCACACAAGTGCTCACTTTATGGGTGCTCTTCTGTAACCCGGAGGAGCTATCCAAGGGGGGTGGGGGGGAATCCACAAGCTGCCTGACCCTTTGATGTTCTGAAATGGAATATTTCCGCTTGGGATCCCCAGAATCTGTTACAGAGGCCACTGCCTTCCGGCTTCTCTAAACACCTATACTGCAGGCATCTGTCTCATTTCCTGTGAGGGAAAACTGAAGCCCTCTGTGCCTCTCCCCTCCACACCATCTGCGTTTCTGAATCTTTGCACTGGATCAAAACTGAACAGAATGTTTAGTTTTCATTGGACCAGGAGGAAAGGAATGAGGTGAGAACGATTACATCTTAAGTAGGATAATATCTCCAAATAATGATCCAAGAGCCAAGAACCACGAGAAGTTGAAGCCAAAGCCACATATTACCTAAGGATATCCTCAAATTCCAAAGCATACACACATATACCCGAAAACAGATGTAGTTTGGGAACTGTCCATACAAAACAAAACACAGGATAACTAATACATCAAGAAAAGTCACCCAGTTCTTAGAGCCTATGGATACATTTGGTGGTAATGTTTGGATGCAGGCAGAAGCCCAAGTGGCCAATGAGACTGTGCCCTAGTGGTGGTGCCCACCCTGAGGCAGAAGGGACAGAAAAGCTTGCTGTCTGTACTGCTGCCTCTAGACAGACACACCTTTTGGCTCCCAGGGAACACTGTCCCTACAATATGAACACTAGTATCTTCTAACTAAAACATGTTGTACACAGAGCTTGCACAGTTCTCCAGCGAAATGGGCCCAGGCACCATCTCCCCAATGAGACGTCCTACGTCAGGACTTGGTGACTGCAGATAGAATGCAGAGTCCTTAAGATGAGATGTGAGAAAATGACATTTTTGGAGTGCCTGATGCAATTTTTTTGGACTAGTTATTTGGAAGGAATGAGTGACATATCTAAGGGATAAAACATGGGGACCCAGAAAACCTGTTTCAGAGTTCCTTTTCCTCCTCTTGTCAGAGGCCTGCACCAGCCAAATGACTGTTTTCTGGGAACTACTGGGTTGTAGGTTTTTCAGTTATCCAAAGTGCATCACCTCATAATGGAAAAAAAAAAAAAAAAGCCCATTTTATAGGCAGAAGAAATGAAGCAAAATGACGGCTCCTGTTTCAGGTTCAGATGTTCAGTCCCCAAAATACTAATTGTCAGTGGATCTCACAACTTCTGTCAAAAGGCTATTAGAAGCAAAGCTGCCAGAACTGTGACACGCAGTTCTATGTTCTAACTGCTAAAGGGAAAGTGGCCCCGAGACTGTAATTCATGCTCTGCACAGACATGTACCTCCCTGGTCACTATTCTAGTCTCTTCCACTCAGAAGGACCCACACTGTGAGCAGCAGGATTAAGGAAGGGGTGGCCCCAGACCACAGCAACACTAGCAACTGTGCCGGCTCAAACAAGAGCAGGGAAACGCTGCTGCTGCCACAGAAGGGATGGGACAGGAACAGAGGTTTACCCTGATGCTCACCCTCCCGCCCACCCCAAGGCCGAATGAGGCCAGAGCTTTTTGTGAGCTCTACTCCCCCTAGAGCCCTGGAGATACATGGGTACCTCCCCAATCTCAACCTGTTGCAAAACCCAGAAAGAAGTATCTAGAACGCACAGTCTATTGATTTTATATGGATTAGCTTCGATTTCCGTGACATCAAGCATTCTAAAATTTTGTGGAATAAACGAGTGGTTTAAGAACAGAGAAGGAAGGCAGGTAAAAAATGTTAACTTCTCATTTCCCACTCATTCACCTCCTAAAGAAGGTAGAAAGAAATTTCCAGCTCTGACTGCTTATATTAATGGCAGATAATGCCAAACAACAAAGTAGAGGGCGGCAGGAACACAGGACAGAACTCTTCTTGTTAGGACGCTGTCAGTAGGCCAAACACTGCTCTTTCTGTTTACAGTCCGGCTACTGCTGGTGAACTACAGGCATTCCCGGGGAGTGTAAGGGTCTCTTTCCCTGTCTTCATCCATTCACCCTTCTAACTCCCCTAAAGGCATGGTGGAGAGCCGTTCTCGATCCTCACCCTCCTGCGGGTCACTATCACCTCCGGTCAACCAAACTGCAACCCCCCACCCCACACAACACAACAAACAAAAAACAAGGACATTTTCATGACATACTTGATGTGGAACCAAAGTCAAGATGAGATACTAAAGTCATCTGGGTCATTCAGTAACTTCCAAGAACCAAAACCAGATCACCCTAGCCAGAGTCTAGACTGCTTTTAAAGGTCTCCAGAGAAACAGAATCAAAACCACTCTTGCTTGCTTATATACTAGAAACAAGTTTTGCTTGGAGCTTTCAGTTGCGATAGCTAAATTGGTGGGATAGAATGATGGGGCTGTGGTGCCTTCCCCCTACCCCTCCCTCAACCCAACCACTGAGGCCTGTCTGAGGATGAAGAGAGAGAAAGAGCAGAGCTGAGGGATGCGGAGGGGTTAAGTCCTGAGGAGCCCCCGAACCCAGCCAAGCCTAACTCAACTTCTCCATAACCCGAGTTAATATAGTTCCACTTACAACTCTTCTGCTTTTGTTTTTTGTTTCCCAAACAAATATATCCTTCCATTGAAATACCCTCCACACAGTCTCTATATTATTAAACATGATTATTTTTCGAGATCAGCTTTCTCCTAAAGCATCCTGAGTTTCAATATCCTTTTAATAGATCTTAATTCTTAAAAATCATCCATGTTGCGCCTCAAAAACCTACAAGTAGGCAGTGGTCTTACTTTTTTGTCCTGGTCAATTTTTCCTGAAAACACCTTGCAAGTTTAGTGGGGTGAAGATATAACTGGATATCGTCTACTGAGAACTTGGTATGTGACGAGTACCACGAGTGCTAATGCTCTGGGTGGACTGTCTCACTGAATTCAGCAAGACAGCTGCTCGTGCGATCTTCACTTACAAATGAGGAAACTGAAGAACAAAGTAACACGGCCAGCAGATACTATGTTCTCAGCCCGGACGCCAAGCTGTCTCTCAGATACCAGGTTAAGGCAGACAAGACACAAAACCAGCTCAATCTCAGGTCCATTTCAGGGTGAGACTTCTCCAAACAAGCAGGAAGAGCAGGAAATCTGCCCTCCTCAATTTTCTGTTACCTAAGTCAAAAAGTCCTCCCTTTCTCTTAATTTGCTTTCAAAAAGAGCAGACTCTTCATGATCATGATTTTTTTCTTTTATAAGATCGCCCACAGCCAGGAGCGGGGCTTCGTCCCACCTTTCTCAGTGGTGCCGGTCCCGTTCTCTATCCCGGTGTCTCTCGTGCTCCCGGTTCCTTTCTTGGAAATACTCATCATGCCGATCTTCGTTATGAAGCAGGTCCCGATGCCTCCTGCTGCTCTCCCGGGACCGGCTAGGTGACCTCTCTCGGGACCGATGTCTTTTCCTATTAGAAAGATCCTTCAGCCTCACTCGGAGGACCTACCACATGCCTTCCAAGAGTGTTGTGTTTTCGTGTTTCCGGTATTTGTCTGAACCACTTTTCTACTATGGGCCCAATGTCTGAGAATGTTAGCTCTTTGAGGACTGCTAGTCTTTTTTTGGGAAAATAGTAACAGTCAAATGTGTTGAGATCTTACTAATGCATCAGGCACAGTGCTAGGAGCTTTACATGCTTATCTCACCTAATCTCTACAATAGATCTGTAAGAGAAGTACTGCTATTGTCCCTTTTCCAAAGATGAGAAGAGTGTTTAGAAAGCTGACTGACGGCTATACTCAAAGCCATACAAGTACTTGGGAGCAAAACTAGATCTGAATCCAAGCACGTATGGCTTCAAAGCCCATGTTCTTAGCTATCCACCAGTCTATATTCCTAAACAGCCCGCTGCCTCACCGTGCTGGGTGACAACACGGACTGCACACGTTACGGCATGTGTTGACGCAGATGCTTGATTAATTCCGTCCCCTTAAAGACACCAGGGCGAGGCCGGCTCTTCCAGCCAGGGCCTTGCCAGATCCCCTGGGCTCTCTTCCTCCCCCTGCCAATCCCTGGAAGAGTTGCTGAAGCAACCAACAACTCACCTGGACGAGCTCCCGCTGGCACCCACACTGTAGGACTTGGCTTCAATGCCATGAAGACAGTCCTTAAGAGAGGAGATGAGGACACGGCAACGCTCATCATTGGCGACCCGGGACTGTTTGATAACAGCAATGGCTGTGAGCAGCGTCTCAATCGCGTCACTGTAATCCCCTGACAGGGGACGGATGGGAAAGGCCAAGGATGAGCAGAGGCAGTAAACTAACTGGACCGAAAGGAGAACTCAGGAGGACACAAAGCAAGAGTAACTAGTTGTCCCACAGAACCATGGTAAGATGGATGAGGCTTAGGTGGCAGGTAGAAGAGCAGACGCACCTATATTCCAACAGTCTGCGATCAGACAGGTTCTCGGATGTTGCTAGTGGAGGTACAAACCGGGGCAGGGTGGTCTGAGGGTGATCTGACGATATCCATTACAATAAACCATGTGCATACTTCCTGACCCAGCAATTCTAAGAATATTCTACTTCTGTTCACAAGTATGTATGCTTAACAATGTTATGTTTCAGCATTATTTTATCAAAAAATTAGACATAACCTAAAAGTTCCTTCAGTAGGGTGCTATATAAACTATGGGATGTTGGTTTTATAAAATACTACATAGTTGTTAAAAAGCACACAATACATCTACAGGTAAACAAAGTAATCCACGTAAAGCGCTTAGCACAGTGCCAGGCACACAGTAAGGGCTCGATAAACATTAGGCATTATTATATATTGACAGATGTCCAGAATATATTAATTTCTAAAAATCTGCAAAAACAGTATTCCGTTTTTGTAAAAAGAATAAAAATTCTATATATGTTGTCATATGCACAGAAAAAAAAAATCTGAGGGACAGACACTAAATTGTAGAAGGTGGTCTTGGTGGTGGTCCTTGTATAGACTTTTATTAATTACCACTGCACGTTTCTAAGTCTGAATTACTTTGAATCTATAATCAGATGTGTACACATGTATATGTAATGTATACCTAACACGTCTATATGTGGAGTGTATTCATACATATGTATTTTTTAAATTATGCTGCCATCAAGAACTAGCCCCTTCATTCCCCAAAGGTGAGCAGTGCTTGGCTCAGGGATCGTGGTCAGGGGCTGGGTACTTGCAGAATGCTTTCCCAAGCTAAATCTAGCACATCCAGACAGAAGATAATGCGAGGAAAGCATGAAACCAGACAGGGGTCCAGTGATGAGGACTGGCAGCCTCCTCTGTGCAGGGCAGTGAGAAGAGATCAGAAACTGTGGAGGAACTTTGATTCTGTGAAGGTCCAGGAACACCAGGATGTCAGCTCTACTGGGATGGGGAATTTCTGCTTATTTTGTAGGCATTCATTAAGTATTTGTGGTTTGAATGACTTAAATGAGAACAAAAAGGAAGGGAGATAGAGATTCAGTTATTGATTTCTCTAAGTGAAGGAGCTGATAAGGAAGTACAATGACTATTTCCTTTATACTCCTCTGTATATTGGACTTGTTAAAATGAGCACAGATTACTTTCTAATTAAAAAATCCTTCAGATGTCAATGAAAGTTTTCTGGAGGGAAAAAAAAAAAAAAAAAAAAAAGAGAGAGAATACATGTATTTCCTGTCTTTAACCTACTCTGTGGATTCAAATTTTGCAGCCAAAGATGAGAAATTACAGAAAACAGATGGTAATATTTAGTGTTAACTTACTTCTTAGGAGATCTGACAGTCTACATTTACATTAATGTGGGAAACTCACAAGAAGGAAGCGAGTATGACTCATATCATAATGTGAAACTTGGACCAGAACCCTATAAAGAACCAAAGATTCCATGCCAGGGCTCTCCGAGTCACAGCTTCTGGTTCTGCCCACTTAATACTGACAGCAGGGCAGAAGTTAGCTGTAAGGGCATACTATGTCTTACGATGACACCCAACAGACTTGCCTCTTTCTAGGATAGGCTACAGGGAGGCCAGCAGTTCTGTCTAGACCCCAAATATAAAGAGATTCCATATCAAACCACATCTAGTTGGGGTATCAGTCCTAAAAAAACCTGGGATCTATACTAGGCACTACAAAGACACTAGGTCCACTGATGAACCACTGAGATCTCCACAAGGCCAGGAATTTCATTCTACAACAAAAACTACAATCAGATACTATTAGTTATTTATAATCTAGTCACTAAGTTTGTCTTCATGGGGCAGGTCTGGATACAGACTAACACCACTAGAGCTTCCCCAAAGTCGTTCAAGCAGGTTATATATTACCCAAAATGTGCCACTCTAGAGAATCTAACAGTGCTCCAATTTTATCCTGTTGAACTTCTTGCCAATGGAAATGACAAAACATGGAAAAACTAAAGGTAAGGAGAAAATGGCAAAGGTAAGGGTGAGTTACCTGCACTGGCTCCAGCTACCGCTTTGGAAATGGCACTGCTGGAAATTGCTCTATTTCGCTTCATGATCTCTTCAAATTCTGCTTCACTCACTGTAGAGGGCGGAGGGCCCGAATCTCGGCTGCACAGAAATAATACCATTCCTGATTGCCCACACTTCTTATTATCTTTACCAGATCCTACCATACAGTGTTAATCATGCTCTCCTATATAATGTCTTAAATGCTTCTCAGCCTGCTCACGTTTTATGTGTTCACATTCTCTTCAAGGACAGGATTTACAACATATTCTTTTGTAATTCTGGCGTGACCCGATAGCGCTAGACATTCACAGCAACCCTAACAGCCACATACAGCACTTGATTTAATCAAGCTCCTTAAAAAGGGATGCCGAAGACATGGTTTGGGTCAAGAGACTTAGATGCAAATGAAACACCAAATAAAAAACATTATCTAACAGATGGTTAACTATTTCCCAGGACTCAATACTATGACAACAGAGTTTCCACAAGGGAGAACACAAGAATTCACACTCACTTCCTCAGGGAGAATAAAATGCTTAACACATGGTGTACCCTACTATACCTGGCTCAGATCTGAAAGGAACAAGATAGTCCTTACCTGCCATGGTGGTTATAGGGTGCGGAGGCCTTCATGTAAGTATCTGGTGGAGGCCCCACTGTAGCATTTGGTGGGGGGAAGAAGGCTGGATTGAGGTGAAGGGCAGGTGGGATGGCCCCAGGGGGAGGTACAGCCAGATGAGGAGGTAATCGAGGAGGAGGGGGCATGAGATGCTGGTAGTGGATGCCAGGAGGAGGAGGAGGGACCCCAAAACTTGAGGAGAGAGGAGGAGGAGGTGGAATTGGGGGTGGGGGCAAACCCATCAGGGGGAGGGCTGAAGGAGGGCGATTGAAGTAGGGTAGCACACTGGGGGGCTTATCCACACGGGCCGATGAGGGTACAAGGTTCTCAGAGGGTGTGGCCCGTCCATCAGCAGAATCACTAGAATCCCGGGAATGGGCCCGTGGAGGTATTCCTATGAAGGAAAACAGAACTAACGTTACTGCCCAAAGCTTTACATGTACCCATGGAACCAGATCATCCTTCAGGAAGAGTCCTCTGACACCATACTGAAGAAGGCGACAGGCACCTGAGGAAGAAGGTAAAATTATCTACTCCTTTTTCTTTGGCCTCAGAAAGAAAGGGCAGAGGCAAGTTAGTAAAGTCATAAACCCAGAAAGCAATTATCACCAATTCCATGTCAAAGAATGCTCTTTATCTAGAACTTTATGCTTCACACTTAATTTATCCTTCGATTTGTCTTCTATTTCTAAATGCAGGACCCTAATTAACGCATGAGAAAATGACACTGTTGAGAAGTATGTTCATTACTGTTCTGGTGGATTCAAGCAGATGTGAAATCACCCGTCCCTGATCAAGAGGTTCAGGGCCTCTCTCCTTCGACCAGTACTAGTAGACCTGAGATCAGTACTATCCTACTGTGCACCTGGAATTTTCTCTTTGCTGGGAATTTGGGAAAAGTGAGAGAAGGGCAGGGGATAGATACTTCCCCCCATTCACATACCAAAATGGTCACTGGGATGGGGAAGAGACATACGCCACAGAAGACTAGAGGTCAAGTGAGAAGCAGAGAAAATGGGAGGTAAGCCAAGATAAGATGTGTCCACAGACAGAGCAGATGGCACAGATGACTGCAGGGCCTCCTAGTAAAAGCTTAGTTTTTAAAAAAAAGCCTCCCATTTAGGGAACTCCCACTGTATTTCAATGGCCCAAACACTGTACCCCACAGGAGGATCACCACCGCACGCTGTTATGGTGCTGGGCACAACAGGGGCTCACACATGCTTGTTTACAGCTGGGGATATGGCTGGCCATTGTCAAGTCACTCAGTTAAACTTGTTCACTCTTGCCAATTTAACAGCCAACTCCAAGCCTGGTTCATGTGGAATCCAACAGAACATGATCCCATGGCCTTAGGAGTCTTGGAAGCAGAGAGATGCTGTTGGCAGTCAAATGTGGACAGAAAGGTGAGTGCTACTAAAACTAATACTTGCTGGTAAACTCAACTCCGGTTTCAGGCATGGGGGGACCCATCATCTCAGCAACCACCTCGCTTTGTCCTCTGTGGTTTATCACTGGTGCCGGTCATGGCACACTTGTGCTTCATGTCTCATCCACATGGCAACCTGTTTCTTCCCTGAGTTCTTTCAAACCAAAGAAAGAAGTATTAGCAAGTGGGATCCTCTGAAAGTTAGCCATCTTCCCAGCTACTCTTCCTACTTGTGCAAGGGTTCTGTTTTGTATCTATGGCTACAATCCCAAGAGGAGCAACCATTTTTAAGCAGAGAAGTCCACCAGCTGTACTTGGTACTGTACTACGCGACAGAGCAGAAAACCACCACTCAGTCACTGCCATCATTTCAGCAAAGAAAGGGAACACCGAGGAGTAAACAGCTAAGCGGAAGTAGGAATGCTATCCCTAATGCAACTGTACATTTATGCAGCTTAGAAAAGTCAGAAAAGGGTCAAATCATACAAAAGCTCTGAAACAGAAGAACTTGAAAATTCAAGCTGTTAAAGAAGAAAAGTATGTGCCTTTTAACCCAGAGCAATGGGAGTTCACACTATACCCATCTAGGCTCTCAATCCAGTCAGAAGAACAGTTGTTCCTATGCAAGAGAGACGTGGCCTATCTCCACCTTCAATCAATCGATACAAGATCCCAGTGGACCACCCAATCAATACAAAGCACTATTTTGAGAGCAGAACCTAAGAAATGACAGAATGCAAGTGATGACACTTTCCCCACGACCCCCACCCCTCACCCCCACTGTCAGAAAAGAAAGAAAAGGCAGTTGGCTGCTTCGGGCAAGGCCTTGCAGGGTGGCTGCACCTTGTGAGGTCAGGAAAATCCAAGGTCTGGTCCTCAGGTTTCGCAGATTCAGAAACTCGACTTTAGAAGTTCACCCAGGGGTGACTGTACCCTAGAAAATTGATTCACGCTAACCAAACTCACAAGAGACTGATTCATAAACCAGAATGCCAATTTATTAATTTACAATGAGAAATATAACTGCCAAGCAGACCGGAATACTTGTGTCGGCTGGTCAGCGCATTCTCTTCCCAGTAGGAGAGCCTAGTTGGGAAACCAAATTAGTATCAGAAGGTGGCTTGGTGAGTACAGAATCAGAACAAAGGGAGTAAGGCGAACTCAGGGAAACTATCATCAAGCTAAGGTCATGTAATGCAGCTTTATTAGTAGGAAATACTTGCCAAGCAGATTAAAGTATCAGGTAACTGAATGGGCACCCTATCCCCTGGATAGTGCTGGAGAAATATTGTTAAACTCTTCTTTTCCAACATGCCTTTTGGTTGATTTCTTACAAAGCACCCTTCCAGCACATGTTTATGATAAGATTATAGCCATCTTTACAAACATTACCTTCACATTAGGGCGGCTGCTTGTTAATTTATAAAGAGCACGTTACAATTAAGCCCATTCACTTATACACTGATTTTTTACACAAAACCACATAATTTAAAGTTGACAGGAACTTTAAACATCATGTATCTATTTCAGAGGGGAGAAGAGGCCCTAAGCAGTACAGTGACTTCCCCAAGGTCACACAATGAGTCAGTGGCAGAACCAGACTATAACCGGAACCTACCTCTCAGCACAGTGCTCTTTTTTGTACACAGCCTCATTTTTGGATCTACTAATTGCCCATGCCACCACCCACAACCACCACCACCACCCCCCCCCCCCCAACTCCTCCACACTGGAGGCAGAGCCCATACAACAGAAAACAAACCCACAAAATTGCCCCCTTCATACAGATGGTCTCCACGTACCCCCTCTTGGGACTCGGACGCACTCACGTTTCCGAGCCTGTGCCTCAAACTGTGACAGGTTTTGCCGGGTGGCCGGCCTCACGTCCACTTTTTCTCCATTAAGAACTTTTCCTGGAAGGAGTTCCAACAATTTGTGGACAGAGTTTTCAGAGGCTACCACCACCTCAGCATACCTTTGGGAAGAAAAATTAAAAATGAGTGAGATCTACTAGTCAAGCAAGAGAGGAACAAAGAAACTCTCTTCCACTTTTAGTGAAAATGGGTAAAGCAAAAATACCTTGCTAATACAACATACACAAAACTGGCACCAATGAAAAGGTGTCAGTCTATCTTCCTATTATTTGGAATCAGAAATTAGTTCTTTTTGCCCCTTGATGGATGGACATTGTTACACTGCAGCTAGGTCCCCGTTCTAAGGTGGTCTGTCAAAGCCAAGGCAATAACCTGGGCCAGGGGTCAGAGGGATTAAAACCCAGGGACAAAATACATCGTAGATCTGTGATCCTAATGATGACAAACTAAACAGGACTTCTCAAATCCAGACCTCACCCTTTGGACTGGCCATTTGCTCGATTCTCTGCAAATTTCAACTCCACCACATCATAGACTCCTATAGAGCGAATAACCTGGATCAGCTGCTGGTCTGTGGTCCACTGGGGCCGGCAAGATGGAAAAGGAAGAAATGTCAACAGCTACACCCCCTCCCCACCTAGAATGTCCCAAACCCTTTCCCCAAACCTAGGATTCTAGTCACAGCCATGACCTCCCACAGAAACCCAAGAGCCCATCAATAGTTCAATTAGCACAGGCTTTTCTGATTACCCTCAACCCACCCAGAATTCCAAAGCCCCCCACTCCCTTCCCAATCCCCATTTTTTGAGATTAAGAAAATTAAAACCTATTTTAACTTTGACCGCCATTTGGGCTGCCTGGTCATCAGTTAAAACAATGATTACTAACAGCTTTTAATGAGAGACCTGACAGGCTATAGTTTGACCACTGTCAGGAACTTTTCCCTCAGTATGTACATTTCCTAATTTGGACCCTCCCTCCACCAGCCCCAAAACATGTCTGTCACCAAAGAACTTTTGCAGAACAACAATCGCCACCTACCCTGAATACACTAGAACTATCAAGGTCTTTGATCCCTGTCACCCATCGTTATCAAAGGACCATCGAATGACCACCAAGAGTTCAAGGTGTTCACTCTGAAATCTCATCCCACAGATGACCCTGCTAGACATAAAGCCCCAGGGTCAGGGGCATTAACAAGATGGCAGAAAAAGCAACTACCCACTTATTGCTTTCTTCGGCACCAGTACGTCCTCAGGATAGTTCTCTTTCAGAGATCAATCCAACCTGATCCCAGGAAAAAGAAATCCAACCCCATCAGAGCACAAAACAGTGCAACAGTGGTTTTTGAAAATGCCATCACCTCCCAGCGCTCTCCCTCCAGCCTACCCAGAAGGCTTTCTGGTTCCCCATGCTCACCCAGGAGAAGCTGCCCACGTAGACAGCAGCTCGCCTATTGCGGAGGCCGCTGTACGTGTACAGGATCGCAGGACTCTTGTTATTGGGCTTGGGAGACGGCTCCTGGCGAACAGGAGGAGGTGGCTCAGTGCTGCTGCTTCTATCATCTGAGGGCTGGGAGGTGGCTGTCAACACGTCATCATAGAGGTCAATCTGATCTGTATTGTTGAACTCTGGGTCCTAAGAGATGGGTTGGCAAAGGTGGGTTTGCAGACCTTCCAGACCTTCCACTGGATTTATTCTGTTTCATTCTAGTTTACTTAGAATCCACAGTCAAATACTTCATAAGACAACATACAAAAACTTCCCTGTTCTACTCTAGGAAACTAGGTAAGAATAATTTTTCACTTAAAACCATTTCATTGAATTATGCTTCTGTAGGTTTTTCTCCCAAGACCCTGTTAGTAGTCTGCAATGTTTCCAGCTTCAGCCAACTGTAAGAATCAAAAGGTACATGATGATTACAGAAGCAAACTAAGAACGCATAAAGATGCACCTGCTACTGTTGTCAATGAGGTCAGCTTCTGAAGGGCGACATCTAAGCGTAACGAAAACTTATTTTCCACATCTTGTGCTATTTCCAAAATCAAGAGTTACAGAAAACTTACTACTCTATTTAATGAGAATATATTCATCTCGAAATAAAAAGCAGGGAAAAAGCATATTAAAGTGAGAACCCAGAATGCAAAAAAAGAATCAGAGCTACTGGTTTAAACTTTCAGATTTACACAAATGACTCAGAGAAGCTCTAAAACTCAACAACCCATCTTTCTAGTAACCATCAAAGAAACATTTTTAAAAAAGGGAAAAGAATACTCTGGGAGATTTTCCCTTACTATTTCTCAGATGATAATTGCAACTCCAATATATTACCGTGACTCTTAATAAATAAGAGACTTTTCGGAGCAACACCAGAGATGTTCAAGGATACACAAAAACAGTGAAGTTCTCTCCAATCTAAGGGTCAGAAAAAAGGACAAACACCCACACCATAAGCTATGCCACAGTAAGCATTTACAACGTGAACATGTACTCCAAAAACATAATGCGTGGTATACTTTATGTATTATGTTTACTTGTTTATTGCTATCATGGGCTGAATTTGCCTGTTCCCACAAAAATGCTATGTTGGAACCTATTCCCCAATGTGATGGTATCAGGAGGTGAGGTCTTTGGGAAATAATTACAATTAGACCAGGTTTTGAGGGTGGAACCTCATCAAGCCAAGAGCTTGCTTGCTCTGCTCTGCATCCACGAGGACACGAGCTGGCATTGTGCAACCTGAACAGGGCCCTCTCTGCCGCCCAAACCTGACTTCAACCTTCCAGTCCCCAGAACCACGACAAGTACATCTGTTGTTTATAAGCCACTCAGTTTTTGGTATTTTCTTATAGCAGCCAAATTAACACCATATACCCCAAATCCTAAAACCGGAAGAGCTACGACCAGGAAATCTTAATGTTTCAGATTTGTGATGTCATCTCAAAGAGCTCTTTTTATGTTCCGGATCGAGAGTATTTTTCAGGAAATATTCTGAAACATCCCAACAGTGCTAAAGATGCTGCCGAACTGACAGAGACACACGTTCCAAGTGTTTTAAGGGAACTACAGCTCATTCACGTCATTGCTGTATTTTTAAAAAAGGAATAAAGGAAAAACCTACATTAAGTAACTTGTCTAGTTCCCTGAAGAAAGGGAGCACTTCCTCCAATGCAACTCAAGACGGGAAGCTCCAGTAACTTTCTCTGTTCAATTCCATTATAAGAACTGTAGATTCTAAAGTGAGACTAGAGAGGGGACTCACTACAAAACTCATTCCTAGACCTATATAACATCGCATGCTTCTGGAAACCATCTTTCAGTTTCTCAGTTCATCTCAAGTACTATGGAAGAACATGCACACAAAAATAGCATTATCACTGTTCTGATAGTCAAAGGGAAAGGATTCTACTTCCTGAGGCAAAGAATAATTTCAAATACTACAAATTCTCTAAAAAAAACCACAAGAGAGGAGTTTATACCTTGTAAAAATATCAGAGAGAATGGCAAAAGAGACTAACCTTTTTAGAGGGAATTTAAAAACAAGAAAGGGGGGGGCAGTGTGGAACCCAGGTGGCTCCGTCGGTTAAGAGTCAGACTCCTGGTTTCCACTCAGGTCGTGATCTCAGGGTTGTGGAATCGAGCCCCATGGGCTCTACACCCAGCGTGGAGTCTGAGATAGTCTCCCTCTCCCTCTGACCCTCCCCTGCTCATGTGCTCTCTCCCTCTAAAATTAAAAAACTAAAATCTTAAAAAAAATCAAACAAGAAAAGGAATCAATGAAGACAAGTAAGCACAGAAAGACTGTTCTATGTAGTCAAATTACAAATAAATAAGCATCTTGGATAAAAAGAGTATGTAAAGAACAGGAAGAGAAGAGAACATCAGAGAGCACAGGATGGATAATAAATTAAGTGCTAAAAACTTGTCAAATACAATGAGTGTAAAATACTTCATAGCCCTTTTGTCTCAAAGAACTGCAACTTTAAACAAAATCACTTATTCACTTATTCATAGAGTAGGGATGGGGATATGCCTTATGGGTCAAGGTAAAGGAAAAAGAGGGAAACCACTGGATCCTCTCTGATGTTCTAATCCTTAGAGAGCACTACTTCACTCCAGGGCACTTTTTAAATTTAACTCAAGGATTCTGAAGTAAAACATAAAGGGGAATAAAGAAACACACCATTTTAGGGCGCCTGGGTGGCTCAGTGGGTTAAGCCACTGCCTTCAGCTCAGGTCATGATCCCAGGGTCCTGGGATCGAGTCCCGCATTGGGCTCTCTGCTTAGCAGGGAGCCTGCTTCCCTTCCTCTCTCTCTGCCTGCCTCTCTGCCTACTTGTGATCTCTGTCTGTCAAATAAATAAATAAAATCTTTAAAAAAAAAAAGAAACACACCATTTTAGATACTCAGTGCAACCAAACTGGAATTCCTTCCAGGCAGTATCTGGGATTCAGAGACGTGTGTCTAAAATTTATAATACCAAAATTACCACTGATAATTGGGCAGTGAACTAACACGCAGATCTGGACAGCTCAGAGACCAACACATCACCAGGAAATCTCCCATACTGCAAGCCTACGCCAACAATCTACTCTTTAAGGAACCCTTAAAGAGCACGAAAGACTCAAGTCCTGAAAAACCTTGTATATGGATTACCTTACCACTTTAAGAAGCACAAATGGATTCAATGAATCCAAAATTGTCACAAGATTCAAATGGTTTCTCTGGGCCATAGAACCTCGGTTCAAAAAAGTTGGTGGGAACTGTTCTGATGCACAGAGCAGGCCTGTTGAGGAGTCTGTTGAAGAAACAACGTATCAAGTTCTGTCTGGATTTAAATCTACTAGCAACACCAATGCATTTTAACTTCTTCAGCTGGTAAAACAGAAAAACAGGTTAAGGGCCTGAGGTTTTTCTGATTACCATATATGAGCTGGTGATCATGCAGTGTTGGATTAGGTTAAAGCAAAATCTAATTCTACAAATTAAATGAAAAATACAATGTTTTACATGCATTGATGCTGAAGGTTTCATTCCAGGGAGATTAAAAAGTAAGTATGTATTTAAAACTAAATGAAAATCTCAAGAAAAATTTTGTGTTTAATAGCATAGAAAGAATTAGGACTATCTCTGAAACTTTTTAGATACAAAAGAACTTGCGCGATTTTGAATTTAAATAAGAACTTCTCCACCTGTATGCTCAGTGTTTCTACCTTCCAACCCCCTTTTCCTGATATCTGAGGGAAGTAAGAAAAGCTAAGATTTATTGTTCTCAAGGCCACCTACTTGATACCATTGTTCTTCTAATTGTAACAAAAGCTCTAAAAAAGTTTTGGCTTTATAATGACTATGTCTAGTCCTCACCTTATGCCCTCCTTCCCTGCCATCCACTGTCCTCAACTACCAGGAATGGAACCTCTTTTGAACACAGGGATCCATTTTGTCCCTGTTCGCTCACTAGTCCTGACACTAACAGAAATTGCTCAATAAGTACTTATTGATGGAAGTGGCAAACAGAATTGGGCAATGTGCAAAGCGTCTCCCTTAAGAGGCTAAACACTCAGTAAAGTGGCAGCTCTCACTTTTTCAGAGTGCTTCTCCCCAGTCCAAGAGAGCAGCTGTGAATTTCAAATCCCAGTGTGACAGGAGTAAAGCAGCTCTGCAAAAGAGGCTTTTATAGCCTGTGTCATAAGAGATCAGGGAGCCAGAACCACAGGGTTCTGTCCAGGGACTGTGTTCATTTTGCTTGGGGAGCAGAGTACGTGTGACAGGGTTCTCGTGCATGGGTCGGCTTGGAATGAATCCTTAATATTCCTCAAACATTCTAAAATACAATCCGTACTGGCTGCCTTCAGTCTAACCTTGCTTTTAACAATCCCCGCCAAACAGAACTTTAATCATTTCTTTAGCAGCCTCCAAATTACACTAAATCCAGCTTTACCAAAAATTAATTCACTGGGAGTGATGGGGGGTGAGCAGTGGGCGGCACCCCTCCTGGACCTTCCACAAATGGACATAAAACATTCAAAATCTATACTTCTTTCACCGTGCCAAGCATTAAATATTGTCTGTTCAGTATAAATGTCTACTAGATTCCACATGCCATCTCAGGCCTATCTTAAACTCACAAAAAAGCCTTTTCTAACTGAAGAGATATAACAAATTGAGGCCAATGACTTCTATCCTCACAAAACAGTGACCACTAGACAAGGCCTGTGCCTTGACTAGAACCTCCAACTTACACTGCTTAAGAAATTATGGATTTCCATTTTTTTTCAGACCAAATGTGGCTAGACCTGTACCACTCTGCCCGTTTCTCAAAATGAATCAGTAGCATTGTTATCAACCCAGAAAAGGAAATTAAGGGGGGGGGAGGGTTTTTATTATTAATAAATAACTACGAGAACCTCCTTCTTTTCTTCCTGTCTTGTATTAAAAACAGAACAAAAGCAACCCACAACTTGTAAAGCGTAGTAAAGATCTGATTCAAAGTAAATGGAAAACAATGGTGTGTAACTACACTCCTATTCTAAATATTTCTTTTCATCCATAATTACTTGACTTGTTTGAACTTAACAAGTTTTTTTCCGTATATTTAGGTCAACTGGTAGTCACATGTAGAGGACTCAGTTTACCTGAGGAGACCTGGGAAAATGGCAATTAAACAAATTAACTGGTGACGCTGGTGGGTACAAGCTCACTATACTGTCCCACTTTTGTGTTCTAAAATCTCCACGTTAAAACAGGACAATGTGGTTTTTGTTAAATGTATACTTGTGCCAAGTAAAGAAAATGACATGTATAAAACCTCTATTGGCTTGTATAAAAGTCAGGGTCTAACCAGGGGACTTTCTTTCTCTAATCTTTTTATCTTTTTTCCAGGTCCTTATGTATACCCACTGAAAGATCCTAATGGGAAGAACCAGTTTAATCAAGTAAAAATGGGACTGAAAACAATCTGGGTAAGATAATTATTGAGTTTTAAAGAGACTATGGAACATTCTTGAGATTGACCTCAGTATGTTAGATTATCATTTCAAGGGAAATCACTACATAATGTTCCTTAACATAACATAGAGCAACCAACAAATCCAGGGTATATAAGGGGGTCTACAAGTGCTTTTTAACTGGTTTATCCAATACCTTTACCTCTACCCTCAAAACAATTGAATTCACCAATAAAATTTATTTCACCAAAATGCCTATGTACCTCTTAAGACTAGAATCAAACTACTTAGAGAAGGAAGACAGACCCAAAACAGTCAGAATGAAGCTGCGATTAAATGCTAAAGTACGTCTTATACTGTGTTTTTGCACCATCTTATGGAGAAGAGGACTAAATTTCTCCAGCTGCCCTTTCAAAGCATCGAAAACGGGGGTGCCTGGGTGGCTCAGGACATTAAGCCTCCTCTTGATTTCAGCACAGGTCGTGATCTCAGGGTTGTGATCTCAGCTCTGCACTGGGCAAGGAGCGCTTAAAAGTCTCTCCCCCTCTCCCCACCTCTCCCTCACAAAAGAAAAAAAAAAAAAAAAGATCCGCAAAGGAACAGGTATGAACACTGTCCTCATGAATACTACAGCAAACGTTAAGTGTGATTTTTAAGTGTGGTTAGTCTTTGAGGAGACTGACACCCAAGTTTGGCCTCCTGGGGGAGCAAGTTCCACAGGTTGACTCACCATTCTATTAAACCTAATTTTTATTTGCTTTTAAAGCCTGTAAAATTAAGCCTTGGGAGCTTAAAATTAACATAAGCGGAATGATCAGACGTCTTGAAAGTCTGTGACATAGTAAAATTTTAGACCCGATAGAGAGATGTTCAGGCCTAGCAAGGCCTGCCGCAGCTTGGAACCACTGCAAGTTTGACGAAAGTGATTCTTCAGCAGATCCAGGAAAATCCCAATGCTCCCGATGACCCCTCACCTGATTGAACTCCTCGTCAGCATAGATATCAATCAAGTCCACTCCTTCTGACATGGCTCCGGAAGGAAGATCGCGAGCCCGAAGAACGGACAAAGTAAGGAAGATGCCACTGCGGTATCCTGAAAGAGGCAAGAGTTAGAAGGCATGAGGGTCCCGGGCTCGGAGGAGAGCAATGGTTGCCAACCTCCCGTCTCCAGAGACACAGCATCCCGGTAGCCCAAGCTCGGTCCACCCGCTCCGCTCCGCCCCGCCCCCGGCCTCGCGCCGCCCCTTGCTCTCCCAGGCCGCCGGGGCTCGCGGGGCTCGCTGCCCATCACCCTCGGGCCCGACCCGAGTTGCGCCGCAGCTGCCCGTGGCGCGACGGCAAAGTCCAGGCCTCTGCTCCTAGGGGCCCTGGGACGGCGCTGGAAAGAACGACGGCGTCAAAGCCGCAGCCCCAGCCCGCTGCACCTGCCTAGGACCCAAAGCGGTCCCGGCTAGAGTCCCCGCGGGTCGTGGAGCTCCAGCCGCCTCCGCTCCCCACCCAGGCCTAGTCCTCGCCCCCAACTAGGCCCGCCCCGCTCCCTCCCCACAGACTCGGCCCCGCGCCCTCGGCCTCCTCCCTCAAAGGCCCGCACCACCCCGCGCCCGCCGACTCCGGCTACCCCAAACTCAACCGACCCCCTCCCAGTCTCAGCGCTGGCCCCGAGCCCTCTTCCGGCCCAGCCGGCCCACGGCCGCGCGCCCCCGTTACCGGGAATATGGCGGCGGCGGCGGCGAGTCCGGACTAGGCCCGAAGCGCGCGAACCGCTCTCGGCCCCAGGTCCCACCCCCCCCCCCCCTCTGGCGTCACACGCACAGCCACTTCCGCAAGACGCAGGAACGCATCTTCCGGCTCAAGCCCTTCAGCGCTCAAGTCCGCACTTCAGGCGTCTGGAAGTTCCCGGAAGTGACCTGACAGTAGGCTTCCGGTGTGAGTCGGGAAGGATGGCGGTGGCTTCCACGTTTCAGGTTCTGCCACGGGTAAGGAGCGTAGAGATTTTAGGGGCCCGGGTGCTGTAGTGGGGACTGAGTCTCGTCCACCAGCGCAGTCATGAAGACTGCGAGGAGCATCCAGCTGCCTGCTAGCCCATGGCAAGGGCAGAACCAAGGAGAGATCCGCCTTGCAACAGGAGATTCAGGTCACATCCACCCTTTTCTTAGCTCACTGTGTGCCTGTCTCGTGCGAGACCCAGTTCAGATTTCACCTGTTCCCCAGGTGGAGCTGGCTGCACCACCTCTCCGTGTTCTTCAGTCTGTTCTTTTGTCTAATACCTGTTAGAGATATTTCACATGTTAAGATAATTTTTTTTATTGTAGGCTTTTCACACTGTAACATCTCAGTACTACTCTTTGCTGCTTCTCATAACTTTTGTGTGTGTTGCGTTTTCGTTTCAAGATATTTCCGAGTACGAGTTCCTCATTTCGAGTTCCCCTTTCGATTTCTTCTTTAATCCATGTGAACGATTGGTTATTCATGAGCTACAGTGTGTTGTTTAATTTTCACATATTTGTGAATTTTCCAGTTTTCCTTCTGATGTTGATCTCAAGTTTCATGTCAGTGTGATCATTTGTATCATTTTAATCTTTTTAAATTTGGTAAGGCTTGTTTTGCAACCTTAGATAGATAGATAGATAAGGTGATCTATCTTGGAGAGTATTCCCACTCAAGGGTGCTTGAAAATAATGTATTCTGCAGCTTTTGGGTGAAATGTTCTGTACATGTCCGTTTTGGTCCATTTAGTCTATATTGTTATTCAGGTCTTCTCTTTATTGATATTCCGTCTAGATGCTCTATCCATTACTGAATGTGGAATATTGAAATCTTTTTTTATTGCATTACTGTTTATCTCCCCTTTCAGTTCTGTCAGTTTGCTTCATATGTTTGAGTGCCCTGATGTTGGTTGCATATATATTTATAATTGATTTATATTTCTGGTGCATTTACTCTGTTATCCCTACTCTTATCATTATATGATAACGTCCCATATCTCTCCTGGTAGTTTTTGACTTAAACTCTGGTTTTTTTGTTTTTTTTTTTTAAGATTTTATTTATTTATTTGACAGATCACAGGTAGGCAGAGAGGCAGGCAGAGAGAGAGGAAGGGAAGCAGGCTCCCCGCTGAGCAGAGAGCCCGATGCGGGGCTCGATCCCAGGACCCCGGGATCACCACCTGAGCTGAAGGCAGAGGCTTTAACCCACTGAGCCACCCAGGCACCCTGACCCCTTTCTCATTTTCTATTATGTATCTTCTATGAATGTTTTATTCTTGGTTACCATGGGGCTTACATAAAACATAATAATCTATTTTAAGCTGTTAATAATGTAACTTCAGTTACATACCAAAAAGCCTACCCTTTTACATCACCCTGTTTACATTATTGATGTTATAATTACATACTTTTTTTTTTTTTAAGATTTTATTTATTTGACAGAGAAAGAGTATACAAGGAGGCAGAGAGTCAGGCTGTGCAGAAAGCCGGATGCAGGGCTCGATCCCAGGACCCTGAGATCATGACCTGAGTGGAAGGCAGAGGCTTAACCCACTGAGCCACGAGGCGCCTCTCTATATTTTTTTTTAAAAGATTTTATTTATTTATTTATTTAAAAAGATTTGTTTATTTGCGAGAGAACGCACATGTGTACAAAGGTGGGGGTGGGTGGGGAGGAAGGGGCAGAGGGAGAGGGTCCCAAGCGGACTCTGCACTGAGTGCAGAGCCCCAACACAGGGTTGGAATTCAGGACCCTGAGCTCAAGACCCAAGCAGAAATCAAGAGTTGGTTGCTTACCCAATGGCACCACCCAGGCACCCCCACAATTACATATTTTTGTGTTGTATATCCATTAGCCTATGTTTTTCTATTTCAACTTTTATACCAGAATTAAAAGTGATTTACGTACCACTATTATAATATCCTATATTTGTCACATATTTATCTTTACCCATAATATTTATATTGGTTTGCTTGATGATGTCATAAGTCCCTTGGGCGCATTTCAGTCTTTTTCATTCTTCTTTTTCTTCCTCTGATTGGGAAATTTCAAATGACCTGTCTTTGAGTTCCCTGATTATTTCTTCTGCTTGATCAAGTCTGCCGGTTAACCCCCATAGTGAATTTTTTTCATTTGGTCATTCTATTCTTCGGTTCCAAAATTTGTTCGGTTCTTTTTAATATTTCTTCCTGTTGATATTCTGTTCATGCTTTCTTTTTTTTTCTTTTTTGAGCTCATTGAACATTTTGATGACCGTTGTTTTGAATTCTTTGTCAGGTAATTCATATGCCTCTGTTTTTTTAGGGCCAGCTTCTAGAGATTTATTTTCTTCCCTTGACTGGGCCATGTATTCCTGTTTCTTTACGTCCCTTGCAGCTCTCTGTCAGATCCACACTTTTGAAAAAAGTTACCTCTCCTAAGTCTTTGTGGACTGGCTTTGTAGAAGAAAAGACCTTCACCAGTCAGCTTGGCTAGAGATTCCAGGAGCCTGTCCGACTTCTTGCATGGATAGGTCTTTTCTAGGCTTATGCATGTGAATTCCCAGTTGGAAGGATTTGCTGGCTTTTTTCAGGAATCTCTTACTTGGTTTCTAGATTTCTCATAAAGGGAGTTGGTCCATGTATTGTTGAGTTGGTGTCTCTGTGAGAAAAGGAGAGTGTGAGGCCTCCTGTTCAGTCATCTTGCTGGTGTCACTACCTTTTCATTGCATTTGGATAGGTTTTGCCCTTCTCCAAATTGGGAGCCTGTGGAGGATTAGGAACCATGCCATCACTGTATGCTCAGATTGCAACACAAGCGAGTGAATAATATATACCAGTCCATAAGAATCTTAAGGGAGGGGCGCCTGGGTGGCTCAGTGGGTTAAAGCCTCTGCCTTCAGCTCAGGTCATGGTCCCAGGGTCCTGGGATCGAGCCCCACATCGGGCTCTCTGCTTGGCAGGGAGCTTGCTTCTCCTCTCTCTCTGCCTGCCTCTCTGCCTACTTGTGATCTTTGTCTGTCAAATAAATAAATAACATCTTTAAAAAAAAAAAAAGAATCTTAAGGGAATATAAAGGAAGGAGAAAATATTTCTGCTGGAGAATTTCTGGAAGGGTGTTAAGAATACATTTGCAGTTAGGGCTGGGTTCCAGTCCTAACTGCATTTACTATCTGGGTGACCTTGGTAAGTTATTTAACTTCCTGAGACTCAGTTTCCTGTGTAATAAAGTGGGGACAGTATCAACATAATTTCGTAAGAACTAAATGAGATTGAATGCATTTAGCACCTAGTAAGTGTTGAGTGAATGCCAGTGATGTTAGTCCTTATAAAGGTGTTTGTGGTTTATTTCAGATGCTTGCTCTGTCAAGGCGCCATCTAGTGTCTCCTTTGCTCAGCATACCATCATTCAGCCGTTGCTACAGAGGTGACAGCCCAACAGATTCCCAAAAAGACATGATTGAAATCCCTTTGCCTCCGTGGCAGGAGCGAACTGATGAGTCCATAGAAACCAAAAGAGCCCGGCTGCTCTATGAGAGCAGAAAGAGGGGAATGTTGGAAAACTGTATTCTGCTTAGGTAGGGAAATACGAGACTTGGTGTCACTTTCTTTTTTACTGGAGATGGCTTTTTCATCTTTGTTTTCTCTCTTTCTTGTTTTAGCCTCTTTGCTAAAGAATATCTGCACCACATGACTGAGAAACAGCTGAACCTCTATGATCGTCTGATTAATGAGCCCAGTAATGACTGGGATATTTACTACTGGGCCACAGGTACTGGGCATGATCAGCAAGCAGCATGATGTGAAAAGTAGGATGGTTCACGCTGATTTGAGTCTGGAATTTTGTGTCCTCGGCAATTTTTTTCTTTTGTTCATGCAGTCAACACTCAACCCCAGCACTCTCCAAATTTTTCAAAGTGTGCAAAATGGTTTTATTAAAGTTCTTCGTTTGTAAGCAACAGAAACCCATCTGACATAAGCAAAAAGGGAGTTTAGTGGAATGGTGTGGAAAGGCAGAGTTACAGAAAAACCAGGCTGGGAAGGGGGAATGGTGTGGAACCCGACAGCTCTAAAGGCTGCATAGCAAGTGTTCCTTGATAGTCTAAAAACAGCATTACCTTTGGGAAGAACGGTTCTCACTGTTTATAGTTAGGATTAGCTTTGGCTATCAGAGAAAACAAACAAACCAATAATAGCTTAAATAAATCAGGATTGTATTTCTCTCTCATAACAGCAGTCCAGAGGTAGGCATTCCATTCAGAAGTCATGCGGTGCAGATCCCCCAGATGGCCGTC